TTATTACTATTTTGAGCATAGGTAATTTATAAAAAAAATTATCCGACGGACTCCAGTTGACTCTACTGTTAATTTTAAGTAAGAGTTAATTAAACTTAACTTTGAATCGACTTAAACAGAGGGAAATATGAAAAAATGGCGGAATGATGCTTTTATAAACAATCTAAAAATGTCCGACACATTATATGTCTAATCTTTTAAGATTAACTCGACGGGCCGTCGTGACCAACAGCCATAATTTATAAAGCTGAGGATTTCGTTTGCAAAAATAAATGATGTGATGCCCAAAATTATTGCACGCAGACGAAGACGCGTTTACAGCTAGTATAAGTATGGGAAGTAAACCGGTAAGACATGCGATATTAGATTTTTTCGCTTCAACGATATTTTGGCAACAATTTTCAATTTCACGATAAGGTGAATATATCGCCATCAAAGTCTAGACATGTTACAGTTAGTTCTTGATACTTGCGTTGTCTGGCATTTTAAAGTTTAAAAGTTGAAATAATTGAGCTCATTTCGACCCGAGACCGAGTAATGAGTTTGTCTGGTATCGATTTGACGTCGACAAGATTTCTCGTTTTTTATTTCTTTGTCTTTGTTTCTACCCGTGTAATTAAATTGTTCTTTCTTGCTTTTTTACCAGACCCGGCCAACAGGAATGGTACTTTCAAATTTGCCTATTTACACTATGGGGACCGTTCAAGTATTACGTAAGCAGATTTATTACAATTATTTACCCCCCCATCCCCCCTTGTCAGCAAAAGTAAGCAAAGCTTTTACCCCCTCCCCCCGTGCTTACGTAAACATTTTTCAATAAAAAATGTGGTGGTTGCCATTCGTGTAAAGAAGTAAATAAATATCGATGACGTAATCATCATCTGGACTCCCCTACCCCCCATGTCATCAAAAATAAGCAAAACACAGACCCCCCACCCCCCTATAGTGCTTACGTAATACTTGAACGATCCCATGTATGTATGTTTCATGTTGTTTTTAAAATACTGAGTACTAAGCAACCAGTTATCTAACTATTTATTGTTATGTTCCAAGTTACTTAGCCTCTTCAATGTGCAGTATGTTTGACACGATTTTAACCTTCAAATATTTCAATAAAACAGTATTAACGTTTTAAAACGCGAAATATATTAGTTAACTTATTTTTATGTAACTGATGACTACTTTTCGGATGCTTCGCAGACGTAGTCATATGGGATAACGTCGGGCCTTAGTTAAATTACATCAACTAGTATTTTTCACGGTTTAAACCAGTAAAAGCGTTTTATTTGAATGTGTACCACTCGGGTAAACTATAGATAATTTTAAAATTCATAATAATAATAATTTACTTTCAAACTTACATTATTTCAATATCCATTTTAGACAAGCTAAATCTGACTCCAATCTAAGTACATACGTTACATGAATTTATGAAATACATTTATCGACGCCCCCGAGCAGTGACCCAGTAATACCACATTACTGGATTATTTTTTATTGCAAATTTGAAATCTGTGGGCCATAATTCACGTATGTATTTTTTTTCTATGGATAATTATATATATGACTATTGAAAGTTTTATTGCATTAAACTTCAGTTTGATTTTTATACTACAAAAATAAAATTACAAACTGTAACTTTTAACATTTTATGACTGATAATTGGTATTATAGTAATACCGTAAAATAATTCATGTTACATTTTGGTTATTGCCATTACAAGATTATTGCTGTAAAATAAGACACCTGCCTCTTATTTTTACAGCAATGGTTAGTAACAATATTCATAAGGATTGAATACAGAAATAACAAGACAAGCTAAGATAGAAAATGTTTACAGAATGGCCCTAGAACGCAAAAATAATCGTACTCAAACTATCAGATTTTTTTTATTGGATGGTGCAGGACTTATACTGCTATTGAAAAGGCTCAATCAGATGAAGGTTTAAATGATAAAAGTGGGACACATACAAATAGACCTCGAAAAATGAGCAGTGATACACAATTGAGTATCGAGTAGTCACATTTTAATTGATGTAGTCCTCAATCAATACCTTTCAGAAAATCTTAATATATCGAAATTATACCGTTTGTGGTGTACAATTGGTTTCTACAACAGAATTACATGAATGTTACCATGGCAGTAAAAAAATATTTTTAATATTCAATTTAACTACTACACTCTTTTTTAAACCCAGCAAAGACCAGTCCGCTACTTGCGTCTTATATGAACAAGCTTCTCCCTCAAAAAAAGAAGAGTTAGAAGAGAATTTCATGCGCCACATACAAAACGGGGGAAAGGATATTTTCGACCAAAATAGAGGACAGTAGCGATATTTGCCCTACAAAAGGTCTTTAACATTCCACAATGCCCTGTTTACAATTTTACGGTATTTGACGCTTTACGTAAAAAAGATTAATGTTATGTGTGACATTACCGTGTGGCTAAAAGAGGCTGTACGGAAGTTGGTAGTTGTTTGTTAAAGTTCTTAAATTCTGAACGTGAAAAGGGAATAAACACAAAATCATTCTACTCTGATGGGTGCTATGGGCAAAATAAAAATAGATACATTTTTGCCTTATATGTCTTTGCCGTAAAAACTACAACTTTCCATAACGCACAGATTTTTTGAAACAGGACATAGCCAAAATCAAGGTGATTCAACGCACGCCTGCGTCGAACGCAATATAAAAACAAAGTTATTTATACTCCAGAACAAATTTATAATATTGTACTAAATTCAAGAGTTACTAGAAAAAATACACTATCACAGAAATTGACCAGTCGGATATTTTAAGTATTAAAACATTAGTCAGTCCTGCACATTGGTGGATCCGTTGGCCTGATGTCATGGATGTTCACGTAAAACCATCACAACCAGGATAGCTTTTTTCCGATACGATTTAGATGGATATATTTGGAGCTAGATACCGTAAACAAAACCCATACTAGACGACGGCGACGAAAACCTAAACCGGGCTCACCGACTGAAAATATAGCTCTAGGGCTAGCTTATGAAACCCATTCCAATAAGCAAAGCATTCAACACAGACTTAATATATTTGTGCAATAGTGGAGCAAATTTCAAAATATTACCATAATTTTTTATGTTGACGTATTCTGAGGAGAAGATTAATATAGTTACTGAAGAAACCTCAGATTATGACTGATTACAATATTTTTTTATGTCACGTTATAGCTTTTTTTTTATTTTAATTATACCTACGATGCGTATTTGTTTTTCTTTAATAAATGTCTTATTTTTGTATAAATTCAAATATGAAATAGTTTTGATTCTTTTATCCACTTGACAAGCTTTTATGATATATTAGTACACGAAGAATACATTTCAAATTCAGAAGAGTGCTTTCTGGTACTAAGATTCTACTATTTAGAAACACTTTAGATTTCACGACCATAAGACAGTTATTGAACTTTACATAAAAAACTTGCTCAGATGAGCAAGTAAATGGCTATTATTATACTATTCTGTTTTAGAAAATACCGCAATAATCTTGTAAGTTGATATTACTAATGTCATGTTTATAAATCAGTAAGGTAAGCTAAAATTACAGTTAAAATATTATAAAATCATCTTACGTAATAAATACTTTTATCTAATACATAAATGTTTGTATATGTAATGAAATCTTTTAAAAAATACCTTTCATTTGATATAACATTAACATGCAACAGTAATGATTCATTGAAAAGATATAGATAAAAAACATAATTCTTTTTCCTGAAAAATTTGACTTTTACAATTGCTGGGCTATTGCTCGGGGGTGACTATATACAATTTTGCTACCCTAAATAAAATATACAGACGTTACATATTTACAAGTTAGGTTTCTTTGATAAAAATTTCACACACATTCAATATTATTTCAAACAACTCATCACAATTAACCAACACGGTTTTATGCCTGGACGCTCTACTTCCACAGATTTAATCATGTTCTCTCAACAAATTGCAGAAGCCCTGGATGATGGAAATCAATTTGATACTATATATACAGATATGTCTAAAGCTTTTGACCGTGTCCCGCATGGTGTACTATCGCAAAAGTTGGAACTTTATGGTTTGTCTCCCCCATTAATAAGATAGGTTAATTCTTACCTATCAGGTTGACAGTTTTATGTAGTTCTCTACGTTGTGTAAATTCTGGTGTACCACAAGGATCACATTTAGGACCGATTTTTATTTTTTAATGATGCATTCTCCTGTTTGGCTTACTCAAATACTTATATGTACGCTGATGATCTTAAATTTTGCCGAGTTATAGACAACATTGAAGGTTGTCATAAGGTCCAATCTGATCTAAACTCATATCCTGAGTGGTGCCATCATAATGGCATGGCGATCAATTTAGAAAAATGTAATTTTATAAGATATGCCAGGAAAAATAACCTCCAGATACATAATTACCATATACTTTTTAATTGCATTCAGGAACTAAAGTGTGTTAATGATCTAAGTGTAATATTTGACGACAAAGCGACTTTTAATAATCATTTGGATTATATTATAAATAAAGCATCAAAAATGTTGCGGTTCCTTATCAGAATCGCTAAAGGTTTCCGTAATGTAAACACAAAAATTATTTTATACAACAGCCTTGTACGAAGTATCCTAGAATATTTCTTTAATCAACATGACACATAGAAATCACAGTAGGTTATTATGTTTGTAAGTTAGGTAATTTGAACATAAATTTACCTAACTTACAAACATAATAACTGGACGGAGTCCTCTTTTTCTTAATTAACAAAAAATGTATAGTTTTTTCATATAGAAGTGGCACATTTTTTAAAACAGCAAAAGTAACTTTTTCTTACTTAAGAAATAAGAATGTGAAAATAAGAAAGTATGTATAAGCAAAATTACTCCTTTAAGGAATGGAGAGTTTTAAAAATATAGGAAGCACAAAAATCAAAATATAGAAAAACTTATCACCTCCACAACTACTAATCAGAGTTTAAGTCACTCCATTCTCTATCATCCATATCCTTCAGGGATTCCCATTTTCAGATACTCATCTGAAAAACTAGTGGTCCTAGCTTCATTAATGTTTTGGTACTGGTAAGGGCCCATCCAGCTGCATCCAGGTATCGGATCGTCGTAGAGCAAATATTGCGTAGATGAAGTTTTTTTTCCTTTTTCATTCTTGTTATGCTGCGACTCGTTGTTATTATGTGTTTGTTGAACATCGTTAGTACACTTTGTTACATCCTTTGTTCTAACGAGCTTTACATAAGGACTATACACGGCGACCCTATTGGAGCCCTGTTGCCCTTCCTTGCTAACTCCTTTGACTTGATGAACTTCTTTGCTGCTTGTCTTACCTTGGAGCTTAAATCACGTTTTTTACCAACGTTACCATTTACGTCGTGCTCCATATTTATGTAAAGACGATCATTCAAACATCAATAATCGCTTACGAGAGACAATATTCATCTGAAAAACTAGTGGTCCTAGCTTCATTAATGTTTTGGTACTGGTAAGGGCCCATCCAGCTGCATCCAGGTATCGGATCGTCGTAGAGCGAATATTGCGTAGATGAAGTTTTTTTTTCTTTTTCATTCTTGTTATGCTGCGACTCGTTGTTATTATGTGTTTGTTGAACATCGTTAGTACACTTTGTTACATCCTTTGTTCTAACGAGCTTTACATAAGGACTATACACGGCGACCCTATTGGAGCCCTGTTGCCCTTCCTTGCTAACTCCTTTGACTTGATGAACTTCTTTGCTGCTTGTCTTACCTTGGAGCTTAAATCACGTTTTTTACCAACGTTACCATTTACGTCGTGCTCCATATTTATGTAAAGACGATCATTCAAACATCAATAATCGCTTACGAGAGACAATATTCATCTGAAAAACTAGTGGTCCTAGCTTCATTAATGTTTTGGTACTGGTAAGGGCCCATCCAGCTGCATCCAGGTATCGGATCGTCGTAGAGCGAATATTGCGTAGATGAAGTTTTTTTTTCTTTTTCATTCTTGTTATGCTGCGACTCGTTGTTATTATGTGTTCGTTGAACATCGTTAGTACACTTTGTTACATCCTTTATTCTAACGAGCTTTACGTAAGGACTATTCACGGCGACCCTATTGGAGCCCTGTTACCCTTTCTTGTTAACTCCTTTGACTTGATGAACTTCTTTGCTGCTTGTCCTACCTTGGAGCTTAAATCACGTTTTTTACCAACGTTACCATTTACGTCGTGCTCCATATTTCTATAAATACGATCATTCAAACATCAATAATCGCTTACGAGAGACAATATTCATCTGAAAAACTAGTGGTCCTAGCTTCATTAATGTTTTGGTACTGGTAAGGGCCCATCCAGCTGCATCCAGGTATCGGATCGTCGTAGAGCGAATATTGCGTAGATGAAGTTTTTTTTTCTTTTTCATTCTTGTTATGCTGCGACTCGTTGTTATTATGTGTTCGTTGAACATCGTTAGTACACTTTGTTACATCCTTTATTCTAACGAGCTTTACGTAAGGACTATTCACGGCGACCCTATTGGAGCCCTGTTACCCTTTCTTGTTAACTCCTTTGACTTGATGAACTTCTTTGCTGCTTGTCCTACCTTGGAGCTTAAATCACGTTTTTTACCAACGTTACCATTTTCGTCGTGCTCCATATTTATGTAAAGACGATAATTCAAACGAGAGATTTTATTAAATTTTAACCTAGAAATTGTGTTCACCACTTAAAAGTATGTTTTTTTTTTCAGATTTTTTTATAAACATATAGCTTTTATCTAATATTATAATATCAACTGTATATGCTTGAGAAGAGACAAGGTCGAATTACCTTTTATTATTTGTAACAACGATTTTTTATTGTTAGTATATTGTTTGATTTTTTTTTTGTATTGATAACGGTAAAAAAATGTGTCTTATTTTTTTATAAATTCAAATATATAATAGTTTTGATTCTATTATCCACTTGACAAGCTTTTATAATATATTAGTATATTCTCAACGTTGTGTAAATTCTGTTATACCACAAGGGTCACATTTAGGACCAATTTTTTATTTTTTAATGATGCATCCCCCTGTTTGGCTTACTCATATACTTATATGTACGCTGATGATCTTAAATTTTGCCGAGTTATAGACAACATTGAAGGTTGTCATAAGATCCAATCTGATCTAAACTCATATCCTTAGTGGTGCCATCATAATGGCATGGCAATCAATTTAGAAAAATGAATTTTATAAGATATACCAGAAAAAATAACCTGGAGGTTATTTTTTACATAATTACCATATACTTTTTAATTGCATTCAGGAACTAAAGTGTGTTAATGATCTAAGTGTAATATTTGACGACAAAGCGACTTTTAATAATCATTTGGATTCTACTATAAATAAAGCATTAAAAAATGTTGCGGTTCCTTATCAGAATCGCTAAAGGTTTCCGTAATGTAAACACAAAAATTATTTTATACAACAGCCTTGTACGAAGTATCCTAGAATATTTCTTTAATCAACATGACACATAGAAATCACAGTAGGTTATTATGTTTGTAAGTTAGGTAATTTGAACATAAATTTACCTAACTTACAAACATAATAACTGGACGGAGTCCTCTTTTTCTTAATCAACAAAAAATGTATAGTTTTTTCATATAGAAGTGGCACATTTTTTAAAACAGCAAAAGTAACTTTTTCTTACTTAAGAAATAAGAATGTGAAAATAAGAAAGTATGTATAAGCAAAATTACTCCTTTAAGGAATGGAGAGTTTTAAAAATATAGGAAGCACAAAAATCAAAATATAGAAAAACTTATCACCTCCACAACTACTAATCAGAGTTTAAGTCACTCCATTCTCTATCATCCATATCCTTCAGGGATTCCCATTTTCAGATAATCATCTGAAAAACTAGTGGTCCTAGCTTCATTAATGTTTTGGTACTGGTAAGGGCCCATCCAGCTGCATCCAGGTATCGGATCGTCGTAGAGCGAATATTGCGTAGATGAAGTTTTTTTTCCTTTTTCATTCTTGTTATGCTGCGACTCGTTGTTATTATGTGTTCGTTGAAAATCGTTAGTACACTTTGTTACATCCTTTATTCTAACGAGCTTTACGTAAGGACTATTCACGGCGACCCTATTGGAGCCCTGTTACCCTTTCTTGTTAACTCCTTTGACTTGATGAACTTCTTTGCTGCTTGTCCTACCTTGGAGCTTAAATCACGTTTTTTACCAACGTTACCATTTTCGTCGTGCTCCATATTTATGTAAAGACGATAATTCAAACGAGAGATTTTATTAAATTTTAACCTAGAAATTGTGTTCACAACTTAAAAGTACGTTTTTTTCAGATTTTTTTATAAACATATATCTATATATATGTAATGAAATCTTTACGCAAAAGGTACCTTTTAAAAAATACCTTTCATTTGATATATTTAACATGCAACAATAATTATTCATTGAAAAGACATAGATAAAAAACACAATTTTTTTCCTGAAAAATTTGACTTTTACAATTGCTGGGCTATTGCTCGGGGGCGACTATATATAATTTTGCTACCCTAGATAAAATATACGGACATTACATATTTACAAGTTAGGTTTCTTTGTTAAAAATTTAATGTGCACCAAAGGTAGATTTTTGGTTGAAAATAAGGCGGCATTACACTTTTAGGCCATCAAAAGGTGAAGTTTGTAAAGGTGTATTTCCTCCGGAATGGAAAATTGCCAAAGTAGTTCCAATTTTTAAGTCAGGAGATATCCTTCTTGTATCTAATGATACGCCTATTTCAATTTTATCAACTTTTTAAAAAATATTACAATCCATTATTTGTTCTCTCAACAAATTGCAGAAGCCTTGGATAGTGGAAAGCAAGTTGATAATATATATACAGATTTGTCTAAAGCTTTCGACCGTGTCCCGCACGGTATACTATCGCAGAAGTTGGAACTTTATAGTTTGTCTCCCCTATTAATAAGATAGATTAATTCTTACCTATCAGGTTGACAGTTTTAATCAACATGACACATAGACAATCAAAGTAAGTAAGATAATTTGAACATAAATTTACCTAACTTACAAACATAATAACTGCACGAAGTCTTCTTTCCTTAATTAACAAAAAATATATAGCTTTTTCATATAGAAGTGGCACATTTTTTAAAACAGCACAAGTAACTTTTTCTTATTTAAGAAATAAGAAAGTATAGTGCTCCTTTAAGGAATGGAGAGTTCTAAAAATATAGGAAGTACAAAAATCAAAATATAGAAAATCTTATCACCTCCACAACTACTAATCAGAGTTTAGGCCACACCATTCTCTATCATCCATATCCTTCAGGGATTCAGGGATTGCCATTTTCAGATACTCATCTGAGGAATTAGTGCTCCTAGCTTCATTAATGTTTTGGTACTGGTAAGGGTCCATCCAGCTGCACCCAGGTACCGGATCGTCGTAGAGCGAATATTGCTTAGATGAAGTTTTTTTTATATATTTTTTCCTTTTTCATTCTTGTTATACTGCGACTCGTTGTTATTATGTGTTTGTTGAACATCGTTAGTAGACTTTGTTACATCCTTTGTTCTAACGAGCTTTACGTAAGGACTATACACGGCGACCCTATTGGAGCCCTGTTGCCCTTCCTTGTTAACTCCTTTGACTTGATGAACTTCTTTGCTGCTTGTCCTACCTTGGAGCTTAAATCACGTTTTTTACCAACTTTACCATTTACGTCGTGCTCCATATTTCTGTAAATACGATGATTCAAACATCAATAATCGCTAACGAGAGATTTTATTAAATTTTAACCTAGAAATTGTGTTCACCACTTAAAAGTATGTTTTTTTTTCTGATTTTTTATAAACATATAGCTTTTATCTTAATTTATAATATCACCTGTATATGCTTGAGAAGAGACAAGGTCGAATTACCTTTTATTATTTGTAACAACGATTTTTTATTGTTAGTATATTGTTGTAATTGTTTGATTTTTTTGTATTGATACGGTATTGGTACGGTAGAAAATGTGTCTTATTTTTTTGTAAATTCAAATATATAATAGTTTTGATTCTATTATTCACTTGACAAGCTTTTATAATATATTAGTATATTCTCAACGTTGTGTTAATTCTGGTGTACCACAATGGTGACATTTAGGACCAATTTTTTATTTTTTAATGATGCATCCCCTGTTTGGCTTACTCATATACTTATATGTACGCTGATGATCTTAAATTTTGCCGAGTTATAGACAACATTGAAGGTTGTTATAAGATCCGATCTGATCTAAACTCATATCCTGAGTGGTGCCATCAGAATGGCATGGCAATCAATTTAGAAAAATGTAATTTTATAAGATATACCAGGAAAAATAACCTGGAGGTTATTTTTACATAATTACTATATACTTTTTAATTGCATTCAGGAACTAAAGTGTGTTAATGATCTTAGTGTAATGTTTGACAACAAAGCGACCATAAATAATCATTTGGATTGTATTATAAATAAAGCATCAAAAATTTTGGGGTTCCTTAATAGAATCGCTAAAGGTTTCCGTAATGTAAACACAAAAATTATTTTATACAACAGCCTTGTACGAAGTATCCTAGAATATTTCTTTAATCAACATGACTACATAGAAATCAAAGTAGGTAAGATAATTTGAACATAAATTTACCTAACTTACTCTTTTTCTTAATTAACAAAAAATATATAGTTTTTTCATATAGAAGTGGCACATTTTTTAAAACAGCAAAAGTAACTTTTTCTTACTTAAGAAATAAGAATGTGAAAATAAGAAAATATGTATAAGCAAAATTACTCCTTTAAGGAATAGGGAGTTCTCAAAAATTTAGGAAGTACAAAAATCAAAATATAGAAAATCTTATCACCTCCACAACTTCTAATCAGAGTTTAGGTCACTCCATTCTCTATCATCCATATCCTTCAGGGATTCAGGGATTGCCATCTTCAGATACTCATCTGAAAAACTAGTGGTCCTAGCTTCATTAATGTTTTGGTACTGGTAAGGGCCCATCCAGCTGCATCCAGGTATCGGATCGTCGTAGAGCGAATATTGCGTAGATGAAGTTTTTTTTTTTTTTCATTCTTGTTATGCTGCGACTCGTTGTTATTATGTGTTCGTTGAACATCGTTAGTACACTTTGTTACATCCTTTATTCTAACGAGCTTTACATAAGGACTATACACGGCGACCCTATTGGAGCCCTGTTGCCCTTCCTTGCTAACTCCTTTGACTTGATGAACTTCTTTGCTGCTTGTCTTACCTTGGAGCTTAAATCACGTTTTTTACCAACGTTACCATTTACGTCGTGCTCCATATTTATGTAAAGACGATCATTCAAACATCAATAATCGCTTACGAGAGACAATATTCATCTGAAAAACTAGTGGTCCTAGCTTCATTAATGTTTTGGTACTGGTAAGGGCCCATCCAGCTGCATCCAGGTATCGGATCGTCGTAGAGCGAATATTGCGTAGATGAAGTTTTTTTTTCTTTTTCATTCTTGTTATGCTGCGACTCGTTGTTATTATGTGTTTGTTGAACATCGTTAGTACACTTTGTTACATCCTTTGTTCTAACGAGCTTTACATAAGGACTATACACGGCGACCCTATTGGAGCCCTGTTGCCCTTCCTTGCTAACTCCTTTGACTTGATGAACTTCTTTGCTGCTTGTCTTACCTTGGAGCTTAAATCACGTTTTTTACCAACGTTACCATTTACGTCGTGCTCCATATTTCTATAAATACGATCATTCAAACATCAATAATCGCTTACGAGAGACAATATTCATCTGAAAAACTAGTGGTCCTAGCTTCATTAATGTTTTGGTACTGGTAAGGGCCCATCCAGCTGCATCCAGGTATCGGATCGTCGTAGAGCGAATATTGCGTAGATGAAGTTTTTTTTTCTTTTTCATTCTTGTTATGCTGCGACTCGTTGTTATTATGTGTTCGTTGAACATCGTTAGTACACTTTGTTACATCCTTTATTCTAACGAGCTTTACGTAAGGACTATTCACGGCGACCCTATTGGAGCCCTGTTACCCTTTCTTGTTAACTCCTTTGACTTGATGAACTTCTTTGCTGCTTGTCCTACCTTGGAGCTTAAATCACGTTTTTTACCAACGTTACCATTTACGTCGTGCTCCATATTTCTATAAATACGATCATTCAAACATCAATAATCGCTTACGAGAGACAATATTCATCTGAAAAACTAGTGGTCCTAGCTTCATTAATGTTTTGGTACTGGTAAGGGCCCATCCAGCTGCATCCAGGTATCGGATCGTCGTAGAGCGAATATTGCGTAGATGAAGTTTTTTTTTCTTTTTCATTCTTGTTATGCTGCGACTCGTTGTTATTATGTGTTCGTTGAACATCGTTAGTACACTTTGTTACATCCTTTATTCTAACGAGCTTTACGTAAGGACTATTCACGGCGACCCTATTGGAGCCCTGTTACCCTTTCTTGTTAACTCCTTTGACTTGATGAACTTCTTTGCTGCTTGTCCTACCTTGGAGCTTAAATCACGTTTTTTACCAACGTTACCATTTTCGTCGTGCTCCATATTTATGTAAAGACGATAATTCAAACGAGAGATTTTATTAAATTTTAACCTAGAAATTGTGTTCACCACTTAAAAGTATGTTTTTTTTTTCAGATTTTTTTATAAACATATAGCTTTTATCTAATATTATAATATCAACTGTATATGCTTGAGAAGAGACAAGGTCGAATTACCTTTTATTATTTGTAACAACGATTTTTTATTGTTAGTATATTGTTTGATTTTTTTTTTGTATTGATAACGGTAAAAAAATGTGTCTTATTTTTTTATAAATTCAAATATATAATAGTTTTGATTCTATTATCCACTTGACAAGCTTTTATAATATATTAGTATATTCTCAACGTTGTGTAAATTCTGGTGTACCACAAGGGTCACATTTAAGACCAATTTTTTATTTTTTAATGATGCATCCCCCTGTTTGGCTTACTCATATACTTATATGTACGCTGATGATCTTGAATTTTGCCTAATTATAGACAACATTGAAGGTTGTCATAAGATCCAATCTGATCTAAACTCATATCCTTAGTGGTGCCATCATAATGGCATGGCAATCAATTTAGAAAAATGAATTTTATAAGATATACCAGAAAAAATAACCTGGAGGTTATTTTTTACATAATTACCATATACTTTTTAATTGCATTCAGGAACTAAAGTGTGTTAATGATCTAAGTGTAATATTTGACGACAAAGCGACTTTTAATAATCATTTGGATTCTACTATAAATAAAGCATTAAAAAATGTTGCGGTTCCTTATCAGAATCGCTAAAGGTTTCCGTAATGTAAACACAAAAATTATTTTATACAACAGCCTTGTACGAAGTATCCTAGAATATTTCTTTAATCAACATGACACATAGAAATCACAGTAGGTTATTATGTTTGTAAGTTAGGTAATTTGAACATAAATTTACCTAACTTACAAACATAATAACTGGACGGAGTCCTCTTTTTCTTAATTAACAAAAAATGTATAGTTTTTTCATATAGAAGTGGCACATTTTTTAAAACAGCAAAAGTAACTTTTTCTTACTTAAGAAATAAGAATGTGAAAATAAGAAAGTATGTATAAGCAAAATTACTCCTTTAAGGAATGGAGAGTTTTAAAAATATAGGAAGCACAAAAATCAAAATATAGAAAAACTTATCACCTCCACAACTACTAATCAGAGTTTAAGTCACTCCATTCTCTATCATCCATATCCTTCAGGGATTCCCATTTTCAGATATTCATCTGAAAAACTAGTGGTCCTAGCTTCATTAATGTTTTGGTACTGGTAAGGGCCCATCCAGCTGCATTCAGGTATCGGATCGTCGTAGAGCGAATATTGCGTAGATGAAGTTTTTTTTCCTTTTTCATTCTTGTTATGCTGCGACTCGTTGTTATTATGTGTTCGTTGAACATCGTTAGTACACTTTGTTACATCCTTTATTCTAACGAGCTTTACGTAAGGACTATTCACGGCGACCCTATTGGAGCCCTGTTACCCTTTCTTGTTAACTCCTTTGACTTGATGAACTTCTTTGCTGCTTGTCCTACCTTGGAGCTTAAATCACGTTTTTTACCAACGTTACCATTTTCGTCGTGCTCCATATTTATGTAAAGACGATAATTCAAACGAGAGATTTTATTAAATTTTAACCTAGAAATTGTGTTCACAACTTAAAAGTACGTTTTTTTTCAGATTTTTTTATAAACATATATCTATTATCTTAATTTAAAATATCACCTGTATATGCTTGAGAAGAGACAAGGTCGAATTACCTTTAATTATTTGTAACACCGATTTTTTATTGGTAGTATATTGTTGTAATTGTTTGATTTTTTTTGTATTGATAACGGTAAAAAATGTTTCTAATTTTTTATAAATTCAAATATATAATAGTTTTGATTCTATTATCCACTTGACAAGCTTTTATGATATATGAGTACACGAAGAATACATTTCGTACGTTACAGAACTTTACATTACGCTCTTCAATAAAAAAACTTGCTTAGATGAGCTATTATTGTACTAGAAATTATTATTATTGTTTTAGAAAAAACCCAATAATCTCGTAAGTTGATATTACTAATTTCATCTTTATAAATCAGTAAGGTAAGATAAAATTACAGTTAAAATATACACATCATACAAAATCATCTTACGTAATATGTACTTTTATCGAATACATAAATGTTTGTATATGTAATGAAATCTTTACAATCTGCCAAATTCTATAAAAAAATACCTTTCATTTGATATATTTAACGTGCAACAATAATGATTCATTGAAAAGATATAGATAAAAACACATTTTCTTTTTACAATTGCTGGGTTATTGCTCGGGGGCGTCGATATGGACCCAACTTGAGAAGGTGGATAGTGGATGTAGGGTAACACTTACAACCCGATATCCGTGCACCAAGGACAGTCACGCTTTATGCTCTAATTAATCAAATATCTCATTACAGTCGGGGTTATATGCTTCGATAAGTCTGAAAATATGGATAAGTCTGGAACTATAAAAATGAGCGGCTTTTTAGCAAACAAAGTGTCCCAACGACTTCATACTTGGATCACTTTAATATTGCTTCGTCGACTACAAATTTTAATAAAAAGCTTTATATGTAATATAGGTTTTTATGCATGTGTTTACTCATATAGACTTTATGTTGGTTCGCAAATATTCTGCTGTCCACTCTTGAATTGATCATATAAATTTGTATTTACCGTGAGTCACTTTTAGGAAGAAGACAACTTAGATTAGTTGGTTCTTTATGACGTATAAATATTTTAACTTTAATGTCCTTTATTATAAACATCTTTTAAATAAGACACTTTCATCCGATAGGTCGGACTGTAATTTAAAAATATATTTCGTGTTTTAACCCATTAAAAGTGTTTTATTAACTACTCGCGTAAACTAAAAACAATTATATACTTTTTTAATTAAAATTGTAACAGTAATACGACCAACGTAATTATTAAATTAAAATAGTTATGTACTTGCCTGCCTCATTTTGTTGTTTAATAGCTTGTCAAGAGTGATATATTTCTTTCTGATTACCACGCTCCAGTAGTCCAAATAATGCGCTACAGTTGCAGCAAATTCACACGATAAAATCACTTAGCGAACATCGAAGTGCCATGTCTAACCAATTATCGTGCAGCAGCAGCGTGAGCTGGCAGAACAAGCAAGCGCTTACTTTTGCGTTTGTGACGCATTTTATAGAATATATAATATTTGGCCCTACATTAAGACTATACTCAAAGTTCTCGTTAACTAATAAACACCTTTAAGTATTACATTAAAAATCGAACAAATTAAAGCTCCTAGAGACAGAGTGGCCTAAACATGATTCTCATTAAGAAGGAAACAAAATGCGCAAATAAATATAGGCGAATATTATTGATGTGAAACATCTATAGCCGCACGTAAAACCGATTTCTGGCGTGGCGACGCATGCCGTGGCGATACGATGCCACGCTATACGATGGTATATATATACAGTCTATATGCAGTAGTGTGTACGGTGTGGCGGCGCGGTTAATTTTTGTATTTAATGAAAATAAATGTTTATTCAATAAATAGTCATCGTTATCTGGAAAAAATCGTAATATTTTATTTTATCATTATGACATATTTAGTTCCTATCACAATATGTTCTTTTCTGCACATTACTTTTACAAAATAATGGCGATGTTTCACATCTGCCAGGCGTCCCGTGACGGCTCACATTTTTTTTTGTACTATTATTAGTGTAAGAATTATGGCAACAATTTTCGGTCACTGTTCTCTTGTAGATTAACATTGTTAGACTGTGAAAATATAAACACAAGTTATAAAATTGCAGTTAGGCTACTCTGATTCTAGCAGCATCAATTGAAGAAATTTACGAGACTAATTTATAATCGCTTTTTTTATTTATATAGTGTATATCATCATGTGCAATAACATGTGAAAAATATCATTTTTTTGTAACCTTTAAGTATTTTCTATAATATACACATTTAAATTAAATACTTAACGGTTTCCGCAAATCAGCACAAGAAAAATATTGTTATTTTTTTCAAAAGAAAAATAGTGTCGAGTGTGTGGACATATGTCATTTACAAGTCTTTCCAGAGCCACAATAGGTCGACGGGCCATTGTGGCCTTAATTATTATTTTTTATTTACAACAATAAATATTCATTGCGATAGAATTCTTACATACTTATTTCTCATGTGATGGCTGGGATACTTCACGAATCAAGTAAACCAAACACTTGTCAGTCCTCAGCAAACATAATGTTACTAACCGTATAAGGATATCAGCCGACATTTTTTCTATTTGCAGAGAAGGTTAAGTGACCCATAAAAATATTATTATGATTGATGTCTAACTTGGTCGTATTGAGCACGACCCTGCGTGCAGCTGTATAGCGAGCAAAAGCAAGGTTATATCATTTCTTATTTTTATGACAAAGTAGGACAGAGGCTCGGAGTGGCGTCCGCTTGTTGTTCGACCTGGTAAGATTCGAACCCACGACCTTTCTATTGCTACCATTGAACAGTCGTGCTCATCAACAAGAAACGTGTGATCTTTCGTCTTTTTAATTCTAGTAATAAATTATATTTTCATGTGGCATTAGATAACTTTTAATATAAGCCATACAACACGCTAGGGAATGTTAGTGAAAAAGTTACGGTTATCTTTTTTATGTCACCGACCTTCACGATAATTTCGAAGTAAGAAGAAAACAAAACTTCGACTACTTAGTTATACTTAAAGTATAGTAATATGTAACAAAACAATGTTTGCCGGATCAGCTAGTGTACTTTATTATTATTATTAATTTATTTGTAATAATACGGGATCCATCTAATTTAAGTTTACCATTCTTATTAAATACAAATATATTTAGGGTCATCGCACACGAGCTACAAGGCACAATCCAACGCCACTACTACCTCTTTTACTAATTGACATGTAAAATACTCCGCTTGTGGAATAGATCAAACGGCAG